CTCACGGGTCCTCCGACCTTTTTCTCCCCATCGGGAACTCTCTGGGGTTTCCCCGGGAATTCACAACATTACAGTGCATGAGGTGGTGTCGTTAGTATTACCTTTTCAATGCTAAATTAACTACAAATGACATAAATTGTGTGTGTAATCTATTCTCTGAATGCCGAACTTTACAAAAACGAACACATTGAAAAAGTGATATTTTTGTCATAAATTGGAAAAAAATGCCGTGAAGTGACCCCTTAACTTGCTTCAGACAAACATAATTCAACACGATACGTAGCAGACTAGGGAATCTGCTGAAGGTGTGACTAAAACCCAATATAACTGTACGGTTAAAAATATAGGATAGCTTTATTAAAAGCTTGCCAGAAGCAATCATCTTTAAATTATTTCACTAAACATCCAAAACATGACCGAAACGTAAGCTTACGGCACTGAAAGCGATTACAGACATCGTCGTTGAACAAGGCCAACGTTTTGTGCCTCCCTACGTTATGTGTAAAAGTATGAATGTGTTCGTATGCCTAAGTGGGTATGCTAATGCATGTATGTATGAATGCGTGTATATGCATGAGTGTATACATGTGTGCTTGGTGTTTGAATATGTGTATGTGTGTGTGAGTGTGTAAATGTCTATGCATGAGCGAAAGTTCAAGTATGTGTGTGCTTGATTTATGTTTTTGGTTTAAGCAACAGATCAACATTACAGCACAGGGGTAGTAGCCCATAAGTGCTTCGTTCCACTTCTAACTCAGACCTAAGTTCGAAGGTTCTCATGCGCAGTGCACGAATTCCGTATCAACAGCGAGGTTCCTGAAATGCTTTGGGTAGATTTTTAACTCCAAATGTTGCACCGCCGTTATGATACCCTCTTCGATATTCAACTGGCAGGGGATAATTTTGTGCGTGTGCAACAGAACACACGGGTGCCGTATCTTATTACCCATAGACCAGGGTGAATTATAGATATCCTCGTGAAAAAATTCCGACCTTTACCAGGGCTTGAACACGGGCGCTCCAGCACTCAAGGCGGACGCTATGTCTCGAGACCACTCGACCCCCTGATGTATACGTATGAGTGTGGGAATGAGCATAGGTGTATGAACTGGTATGTATGTATGTGTAATTCTATAAATAGAAGTGGAAAAGTGTGTGTAGGTGTTTGTGCCTTTATCTTCTACGAATCTGTACTGGTCTTCCAACAAATTAGGATTACAGAGTTTAGGCTTCTAGAGTAAATACTCATCAAAGATAGATAGATAGATTAGATAGATAGATAGATAGATAGATAGATAGATAGAATAGATAGATAGATAGATAGATGATAGATAGATAGATAGATATATAGATAGATAGATAGATAGATAGATAGATAGAGATAGATAGATAGATAGATAGATAGATAGATAGATAGATAGATAGATAGATAGATAGCTAGATCGATATCAAGATAGATGATGATAGATAGATAGATAGAAGATAGATAGATAGATAGATAGATAGATATAGATAGACAATAGATAGATATATAGATGATAGATAGATAGATAGAAGATAGATAGATAGATAGATGATAGATAGATAGATAGATAGATAGAATAGATAGATAGATAGCTAGATATAGATAGATAGATAATAGATAGATAGATAGATAGATAGATAGATAGATAGATAGATAGATAGATAGATATAGGATAGATAGATAGATAGATAGATAGATAGATAGATAGATAGATAGATAGATAGATAGATAGATAGATAGATAGATAGATAGATAATAGATAGATAGATAGTAGATAGATAGATCGCTAGATAGATAGATAGATAGATAGATAGATAGATAGATAGATATAGATAGATAGATAGATAGATAGATAGATAGATAGATAGATAGATTAGATAGATAGATAGATAGATAGATCGATAGATAGATAGATAGATAGATAGATAGATCAGATAGATAGATAGATTAGATAGATAGATAGATAGATAGATAGATAGATAGATAGATAGATAGATAGATAGATAGATAGATAGATAGATAGATAGATAGATAGATAGATAGATAGATAGATAGATAGATAGATAGATAGATAGATAGATAGATAGATAGACTGAGAGAGAAGAGAGTAAGAGAGCAGATGCATGTGTGTTTATGTGTGTGAGAGATAGAGAGAGGGGCCAAAAAAAATGAAAGAATTGGGTATTTGTTTATGCACTTTAGGAACACTTATTGTGCCATTTTCACAATTTAGTGACTAATTGTTGTAAATAGAGTGTCTTATTAACATACACATCGAAAACATTTTCCAGTTTATTAATATGAATCAGGAGATAAACACCAATGGCATGATGCATTTATTAGTTGTGACTTCAAGAGGATGATGCATTATTTCGTTCACTTGAATACATAACACGCATCCATAACTGGATTACGTTTGGCATTCTATGTCAGTTAGTCAGTATATTTGGCATTTGCACTAACATAATCAACATATTCTGCTTTATTAAACAAGGTTTTAACGATGCTGTCAACATCAGTCTTTCAGGTGAACATCTGTGTAATAAATTATTCATTGTGAACCAGATATTTTTCAAAACTCACACACACACACACACAAAGATGTCATTTTTATATATTCTTCTTTTTCTTATTCCTTGTTCTTGTTCTTGTTCTTCTTGCTGCTGGTTCTTGCTTGTTCCTTCTGTTGTGTTCTACTTCTCTTCTTCTTCTTCTTCTCTTCTTCTTCTTCTTCTTCTTCTTCTTTCTTCTTCTTCTTCTTCCTTCTTCTTCTTCTTCTTCTTTTTCTTCTTCTTCTTCTTCTTCTTCTTCTTCTTCTTCTTCTTCTTCTTCTTCTTCTTCTTCTTCTTATTCTTTTGTTTCTGCTTCTTCTTGTTCTTGTTGTTTTTATTCTTCTTGTTCTTGTACTCATTGTTCTTCTTGTTCTTCTTCTTCTTCTGTTTCTGCTTCTCATGTTTTGTATTTTTAATTCTTATTGTTATTGTTCTTGTATTCCTTGTTCTTCTTGTTCTCTCTTCTTCTTCTTGTTGCATGTTTGAGGACACTTTCCTATTTCTTATTATTTTTCTTCTTTTTGTTTTTCTTGTTTTTATTTTTCTTCCCACCCTTCTTTTACTTTAAAATCTTTTGCTTCTCTGTTTTCTTTGCTTTTTAGGGTTTCTTATAATGTGCATGCATCGATTGTTCTGTATTTCAGCTTTGAGAAGAGTGTAAACATAGCTGTTGAGCTTTTTTTTTAGAAAGAGGTGATGAAAATACGCCGGCTTTGGATCAGACACATGCTGAGAACACATGAGAATTTACTCGAGTATCTTTGCACTGGAACCCACAGAGGCATAGATAAAAGAAAAAAAAAAAACACGGAGAAAGGAGGTATAAAGTGATGTTAAACAGATGGGACGAGCTTGGAGTGAGCTGTATGCTTTATTGGAGGATAGATGACTTGGCGTGAGAGGTTAATGGCCTATGCGTAATTGTGGGATCAAAAGGCAGAAGAAGGCAAAATTTAAGTGATGTATCCGAATATTTTGGTGTTTAAACAAAAATTGGCTAACATGTGAAAATGTAATTAGAGGTTTTGAACATGGATGTAAAAATGAAAAACGTCTATTCAATCTAGAAAGACGGATTTCTTATTTCCGACACAATGGGATCGTAGGTAGCATTCCAATCAAGAAGGAGCAAATCATGCAAATCTTGTTCGGCTACATAGTAACCACGTGTCTTGATCTGGCAGAATTAGGTTTTTAAGAAGCAATCTGTAAAAAGCAAGATACGTTTTTAAAATACTGGTGAATCATTATACGACAAATTTCTTGCATTTATGAGATATATTTATTGTTTTTTTTTTTTTTTTTTTTCTTATTCACACTAGCTCTCTTCTGATTGGTCGACCTTGGGTCACCGGCATTCTATTTCTCGGAAGAAAAATGTAAATGCAAGACAAGCTAGAAGGCAAACAACACAGCGGCACATCCATAACCCTCGGACAGCAGACCAGTCAAAAAAAGTTATCACCTAGTTTTTTTTTTTTAAGGGGGGGGGGGGGGGGGAGAATGATGACAACATGGAACTAAATCTGGTTAAACACTCCATTTAACTGCGACAGTTTCATCAAGCTGGCAATGGATTACAACCTTATTGAAAGAGGCAATAAAATGACTCTAAAAAAGGCAGAACATGACTAGAGGAGGAGAGGAAGAGGAATCATTCAATTCAGATGGGGTATGTCCAGGTGAGATTGCTGGACAGGGTGCTGGTTAATTTAGATCCCCCGTGTGTTTAATATGGCGAGTCGACACAAAAACATTGGCAGGAGTGGAGGCTCAGCATTATACATGTTTAGGCACAAAGGGTGGTGTGAAGCTGTGGGGTGGGGTTCAAGGAGCATAATTAGGTTCACGAGCATAACCACAATAATTTAAATACTAAAGTTCACAAATATAGAATTATATATATACAAAATAATATGAAAACTAAAATCTAGCAGTTTAAAAATGATTTTACTACATAGATAAATGGGGAAACTTAACCCACTTAAAATTTGTTTAGGGTTGATCAAAAGACCTGAGCCACCAGGTTTTCGCACCCCTGTGTTGAATAAGTGTTATGTCCCTAAACAAAATAAAGTAAAACAAAACAAAAAAGCACATATCTGTTCGCAGTCGCTGCTGCGATCAGCTTTGAGTGTGTGTTCGTAAATCCTCTGTAGTCAAGTCAATGCTCTAAATGTTATGATTACAGGTAAAACATTTTTACAACACTAAAGCTGTACTAAACACAAAGTGCCAGCTCGTATTCATAAACACCAACATACACACTGAAAGTAATATCTGCAATCTATATAGTACGCAGAACTCATTATTATTATTTTTTTTAAACAAATTCAGGGCATGTTTTCATTTGTAATTGACCTTTTTCGTCGTGTGTCTTGCTTTGTTAAATGTAACATATCACTGTCATCTTTCTATATCAGGACTGGCGATTGCAGATTTAGGAAGTCTGATAATCCTTGTATATGCAAATGTATGCCTCACTGATTTAGATTTACCCTTCGATTTGTTTGAAACTCAGTACTATGTTGCTGCAATGCCTCATACAATTTTTACTCGGATATCTACAATGATCACAGCAACAATCACAGGTGGCTTGCATCGTGATGCCGTTAAAGGTTTGTCATTTTAGCGTCGACATTACTCACTGTTTCATCTTTAAGGGAACGATTAACAAGGAGCGGATGTAAAGGTAGAGAATATATGAATGTGTGCATGGGTGTGTGCGTTCGTATGCGTCCTGTGTGTATGTAAAATGTTTAGTTGTGTTAGAAATTATGAAAAAATAAATATTTTTTTTTGGATAGCAGATAAATCTACAAATATATAATTAAACTGCAGTGTGTCTTCTACGACGATGCTACATCAAAAATGTAAAGGTATCACTTAGGGGAACGTGTTGTTCTATTCAATGCGTGTACCAAAAGAGGAGAGGTATGTAAATATTATTTGAAAATATACCGTCAGAGAAGCTCTAAATAGTACCAAGTGTCTATGACAGAGCTGTGCAGAAAAAAACCAGAATATTATGTCTCCCTCCACAACAGAGCAGTAAATTTAGGAACCTGAAAGAGTAAAGAATAGAATACTTCTGATCATGCTCACATAAATCACTAGAGTTCCTTGCATTCTTAAATTACTTCATATTAAACCAACGGTGCCAGATAACTATTGCATGGAAAAGGAAGGAGGCGGGGGAGGCGGAGGGGTGGGGGTGATGGCACCCTTTTCTTGGAACCTGGGGTGCACCTGACTGGAAACTAATCAATCAGCATATTCACGCACAACATTTTAACTGGGGTTACTTAAATCTCAAGTCGTCTCTGTAGCTAAGTAGATGCGAACGCTTCGTAATTCCGGGGTGCGGAGTTTAATCCCAGCTACGGGCCATGCGCCTTCCGTTGGTTTCGACAGTGGTATCAAGAAGCCGACCGTCCAGAGGCAATGGCAAACTACTTGACGTAAATTTGCATAGAGAAACCACACAACAGCCAGGGGCTGCTGGGTAAAGGATACGCGATTAACCTAACTTAAATCTCATATTCTACATTTTCAATATAGCATGCAGGATAGTTGTTTCAGAAGTCTTCAACAACTGATGTATTGACAATGATTACTAAATGTGTGTGTATTTTAACCTTGTTTATAAGTAAGTAAACTCATATTGACAAAAAACAATATATAAGCCCTTCTAATATGGAATGTCATATTTTGTTATTCTAATGCTCCACCTGGCTTAAGTCTGGGGCTCTAATAAAACCTGACCAATGGGTTGAAAGGGGTTTTTGGGACTCTTGCCCGGGTGATCCTCATCCAAATGGTGGCACTTCAGCTGCGCCCTGATGTTTGTCACTTGTTGTCATGGTGGAGTTGAACATTAAAAAAATGGAATGTGTGTGTTTAACAAACAAACCGTATTATGTATAGTAAACAAAAAATTAACAAGTAAAAGATCCCTTTTCACGCCTGAGGCGCATATGGGAGAAGCGTCCCATATTTTCACAGACCTATAGGCACTAGGTGGGTAATGTGGTCAGCATTACGCCGGCTGTCTTCACTACCCCAGGACAGCCATCCTGGTACACATTTTTAGCCCGGGTCGACCTGCGACGCCCCATGCCATGATAAAAATCCATGCCTTACGTATATTTTATAGATTGCAAACATGTTATCAAGACACTCTTTGTGTATTTCTTCCTTGTAGGTTCATCAAATTGCGACTCCACGAAAGGTTGCTGCTATAACTGTGACTATATTTTTTGTAAACATTGCAAGCGGATGTTCGGTGTATCTTGTTAATAAGCTCAGAATGAAATATTTCCCGGACTGAAATAAAACCATGATAGGACTCATATACCATCCAGACAAAGAAGAGGTTGAGAATATATCCTGTATGATTAATAACGTAGTGTTTCCTCTTTGCGAATTTTTGATAATTTTTTGCTTCACAATCGCCTTGTCAATAAGCTTGTTCAAGACAAGCAAATGGAGACAGTCAGTTAAATCAAAGATCTTAGTACCTGACAGAGTCGCCATTCGTAACCAGCGGGCTGCAAAAATGGTTATCATGATCTCTATACTCTTTATTGGCTGCTTTACTCCAGTGTGTGGAATATTTTTGTTGATGTCCTTGAATCCACAGTATAATGTGTTTAGTAAATACAGAGATGTTGTTTTGCTGATGGGCGGTGTGGCTACGCTGTTGGAATCTATTAACTTCTCAATGAACATTGTTATTTATTATAGTATGAGCAGCAGATTATAGGATTGTATTCAAAACACTGTTTGCGAGAAATTGCTAGTTTAAGTGAGCGAACGAACAAACATTTTTTTTTAAGGGTCACCAATTGGCCACGCAGGCTCGTCTTATATATTTTCAACTTTCACACAGCTGTTGTATTATATTAATAAAGCATGTTATGTTGATATAATACTATGCATTATTTTAACACCAAGAAACGACATAAAAGAATGAGTGATAAAGTGCATGCGCACACACTCACATACAAATGTCCACCCATTCACTCACTGACACACATACAAACACACACAGGCACACCCATACATATCCAAATACATCAGGTAATCTGGTAATCTGGTAATCTTAGTTTCAGCTTCATAGCAAACGGGACACCACATAGTTGCGCCGCTCCTGTGACAACGAAAAACACACAACATGTTTATCACAGTTTACATGAAATCCGCAGCTTACAGTGTCACGCCAAACACTCAACTCAGTAGCTGGGCAACGAAACGATATTCTTCCAGTCTACAAATGGAGCAAAAATGCAGCAGCCACCGTCTGGCAAAAGCAAAAATAATTTGCGACACCTAAAAGAAGTGACCGTGCCCAGCATCCATTTTGACCTGAAACATTTGGTAAGGGTTAATAAACGGTCACCTCAGCAGTACCCTAACTTTTAGCTGGAAAAGGGACTTAGGACATTACATCCACCAGCAAGCGTCGCCCTTACAACGACCTGACTGACCTTCGTTAACGACTGTTCACCCAACACCAATGCAGTTCTTTGGCACGAAGGAGACACCTTGAACTTGGGCCTGTCGGTACATCAGCCAGAACAGAATTGAAGTTATTAGCCTTTAAAAAAATAACAGTTGGAGGCACACTCAGAAGGAGATCGGAGCACTTATGGTCATGTCCAATGTGCGATCAATAAATGAATAATGGACATTTAGTTAAAACAGGCTGCACTGTTTTGCTTGATGTTGTTGTTTTCAAACTGGTATGTTTTCTTCGAGTCAGAGCTGAAATGCCACACTAAGAATTTATTGTGTCATTCAGCTGTGGCCTCAATTTAGAATGTGGACAGCGACTTCATAGTAACATGACATTATTGTTGTATTTATTCGATTAATAATGATATCATAACTAAGTGGAAGTAAGTGGTTGCCAGATTAAGTCATCGCAATTTGTTTGTTGTTTGCAGTCTTCATTGATCCCAATGCCATACATTTTAATTGCTGAGAAGCAAGCAATGTATTATCAGTCAAATGTTTAGGTATTCTACTCTTCGCAATAATTTTATTGTCTTTACTAGTAAATATTATTTGACATGGTTTAATTCGTATGTTTTGTTATTAGCTTGAAACATGAAATCAGCCATAGCGGAGCTACTATTAGCGAAATTTTATACTTACTGCAACGCTGAAATTATTTTCTATACCACCCCATTGTCAAATACACGGAATTTATTTTATTGATAATAGTGTGAAATATATATTTAGCAAAGTTACCGTAGATTGTACCTTGCCACTGAAACAGAACGAATTGACACGTTTGAAGAATTAGATATTTTTTTTCAGGTTAAATTGTCTACATGTCTTTCGTTAATTGTTAGTTATTTATTTATTGTTAGGTTTGCCAAATCGATGTATCACATTCTGGAAAATGCTGGAAATCGTTAAAATTGGAAAATTACTGAGGGTACAACAAAAATGCAAAAATAAATATGAAAAAAAACACACATGTAACTATCTGCACAAGCATGTATAAACAGGAGATTAAGTCAAAAATTTTGATTATACTTACCGAAAAGAACAAGACAAAAAAACTTAGACCTGCATCCCAGTAAATAAAATATATCACATCAAAAAAACATTTATGTGGATGTGTGTATTAATATATGTGTGGAACATCGGCAGCGATGATGCTGACCACATCACTCAGCATGTACTTTTTTATATAAATTATAATTAAAGCATCAAATTTCCTACTGCCACTGCCGCGAAAAGTGTTCTTTTATTTGGCTATAGATTTTCAGTAGATATTCTTTCTTTTACAAACAATTAGGTCTCACTAAATTCTTACGATTATGGACAATAAGTAACCTAGCTTCTAGCTTCTGCATTTCTAGACAATAGCATTGTATTGTGCTGTGAGGAGCTATATGGTCTTTCATAATTATGGCATAGATTTTAGGATTGCTGTTGCCATCATTTGTGTTTAGCGTGCTTCTTCCCAGACACTCACGCTTTACATCCTTTCAGCAATCATTTCTTCTTCGATTCGTTTTCCTTCATGATGTTCTCCCTCTACCCATCACAGTCCGTGGCATTCCGCTCCAATGAGTCCACATCAGTACGTGTATCATTCATGCCCCTCTTTGCACGCAGCTCTGTATCGTTTTAGAGGCCAACCATTACATTACCTACCCATCTGTTATTCACCACTACGGATGTCCTTACGGACTCTGCCATCCTCCATTCTCCAGGTGTGACCTAGCTACTTACCCACTTAAAATAAAAGTATTAAAGTCACCCGTTAAACCGTTGATCAAACAAGTCGTTTTATGTGGTTCTGAAACTTGGAGCACAACTTAAAGAGATGACATTTTATTAAGGGCTTTCGGAAACATAATCTTACGACAAAACTTTGCACTAATAAAAGATACAAAAAAGACACACACACACACACATATATATATATATATACACACACATAAACATTAACATAAACAGACCAATTTAAAAGAAAACAAGTGCAGCAGCTTTGTTGGATCCAAAAATACAATATAAAAAAGACTAGAGAATAGCTAGAACTGACAATGATGCTTGCTGATGCATGCAGACA